TCAGGAATTCGAGACCAGTCTGGCCAACACGGTGAAACCCCATCGCTACTAAAATACAAGAAAATTAGCCAGGTGTGGCGGCGTGCACCTGCAGTCCCAGCTACTTGGGAGGCTGAGGCAGGAGAATTGCTTGAACCCGGGAGGTGGAGGTTGCAGTGAGCCAAAATCACGCCAATGAACTCCAGCCTGGGCGACAGAGCAAGACACTGTCTCAAAAAAAAAAAAAAAAAAGTCCCCTAGTTTTTTTTTTGACAACCGCCCTTAATGAGTGATGTGGGTCTGTGCCCCTTCAGCTCTGGACTCTGCCAACAGGACAAGGAGGCAGTGATGCCAGTGGTGCAGCACCACTTCCTGGGCCCACCCAGCCTTAAGCTGGCAGCTGCCCCTTCCTGTCTCTTTGGGGGTGCATGCTCTTGGCCGTGCTGGGAGGAAGCCACCGTTGCTCAGTAGAGAGGCCTGGTCACATAGGACCCAGCAGCTAGCATCCCTGCCAGCCATGTTGTCCCCCCTGTGGATCCTCCAGTGCCAGGAGCGATGCCCTCGCTGACCGTCTGGAGCACAGATGAACTGAACCTGCTAAGCCCTGTCCAAACTCCAAATGGGTGGACAAAATACAGGATTATTTAAATATGTAGTATACTTATGTGAAAAAGCTAAGCAAAATATATACACATACCTCCTCATTTGTGCAAAAAAAACTGAGGTAAGGTAGAAATAAATGAGATTGGTTACCACGGGGTGGAAACAGGTGGAGATGGAAAATGGGAAGAGGGTGGGAGGGGTGCAGCTTTTTGTGTAACAGACTTAGAACCACACGAATGTTTCACATGCTGCCAAATTCAATAAACTATTGTGGGGGGAATCCAAAATGGAATACCTACAATAACGGAACCTCACTGTTACAAATACTAAAACCACACTGAAGGGGTAGGCTGCTGAGCTAAATGATGGCCAGAGAACACCATTCGGGATGGATACTGCAAGGTTAAAGTGACATATTTAAAAAAAGAACGTAGTATACTCTTGCTAGTGGATTTGCTTTCCATGGGTTGGCAATCCTGAAGCCACAGGCGTACTAACATTGTGTGATGTTACACATAATGACAGCCTGATTTCCCACCGCTGGACAGTCACAAGGCAGGCCAGCATGAAGCCGTGGGCTTGCTGGGTTCGGTTTAGCAGTGAGTCGCGGTTTGAGCTGGAGCTGTGTGTGGTGGGGTGTTCCAAGTGTCACTCCACAAAAAGGCCTGGAAGCAATGATCCTCTAGCAGCCTGTGCGCGGCCAGCCCTGGGTCCCGGTGCTGGTGATGGTTATTTGTCTCAAAAAAAAAAAATAATAATAGAAAGTCACCATGAGGCAAATACCAATAACTGCTGATTTGTCGACCGAAACTAAAGTTACTGGGTTCTTGAGAGGATATTCTCGTTGTGTCCCTGCAAGATACTCATTACACCAAGGAAAATAGTGACTCTACAGTGAAGAGACCTGGTAGACACCACCTACATCCTGATTTGATGCAGAGGAGGCCAGATCTCTTCCGTGTTCTTGCCAGAATGCATAATTGCAGTTTAATCACGAGAAAATATCAGGCAAACTAAAATTGAGGAGGAGTCTACAAAATGCCTGCCCACACTTCCCAAGTGCTCGGGCCCTAAAGACTGCAGGAGAGACTGGAAGACAGGGAGACAACAAAATACAATGTGGGCCCATTGGAAGGGCCCTGGACAGGAAAAATGGACACTTGTGAGACAGCCAGGCAGGTGCCAAGACAGGTGCAGCTGAGGCTGCTAGCCCTGCACGGTGCGAGTCCCCACGAGGCTGCAGGAGACACCAGTTAGGCGGCTGGGTGAAGGCTGCAGGATTTCCAAAACCTGTTCAAAATTATTCCAAAGTACAACACTAAGAAGGAAAATACACCTTTTTACTTAAAAAAAAAAAAAAAAAAAAAGTGTGGTCCCTGGATGAGGGGTGTCAGCGCTGCCTGGGGGCTTGTTAGAAAGGCAGAGCCTCAGAGCAGAGCCCTGTGGCGTCAGAAGCCGCGTCCCACACGTGAGGCAACGCCACCGTGCAG